ACACCTCTGTTCATCAATTTGCACTGGCTACCAATAGATGCTCGCATAAAATTCAAGGCATTAATGTTTGCCTTCAAAACCACCACTGGCTCTGCACCCTTTTATCTAAATTCACTACTTCAGACGTATGTGCCCTCTATGTGCCTGTTACAGTCTGATCATTGATCTGGAATCCAGGTACATACCTAGAAAACAAACTAACTGAAAAGCAACAAGACAGCTTTTCTGCAGAATTACCTTCAGTCCTAACACCTAACACCACAACATGCTTCAGTAGGTGCTGGGTGGGTTTGGCTGCAGCATCTTGCTGCACATAGCCAGTCATCCCGATATGGAAGAATCAACAGGCCATCTTCCTGCGATAGATCCAATGCTACCTCAATACACCGCATGAACACACTTAAGGAGAGAGACAGTCCAAAAGCAGAAATGCAGTAGTGGTGTGTTCTGTCCTGGAATGTGCAGAAATAGTCTGTACTGGAATGCAATTAGAATGTAAAAATATGCATCCTTTAAGTCTATAGTAATGATAAACCACATGCCAGGTTTGATAGCACCCAGTACATATACCACACCTAGCATGCAGAAACTCCCATTCTTTTTCTGAACAAGAAAGCATTTTGAATGGAAGCCCCAGGAGTTGATCAGGGGACCTACAAGTTCTATTGCCCTCTTCCTTAGCAACTACTGGACGTCTGTAGCAAGGGCAGGAGCCTGGCAAGGGTCCTGAAGTACTGTGGGCTGAATACTAGAGGCCTGTGACAGGACTGAAGATGATGGAGACGAAACTGGCCACTTCAAAGGGCCCTTTGGAATGAAGGATTTCGAAGGGTGACTCAGCCGGCGCAGTTTTTCCAGAGCGGCTGTAGGAGCTTTGAAGACAACACAGCTATTTCACGATTGGCCAGATTCACCACATGACGATGATCACGTGTGTTCCAGGTTTATTCTAAAGGTGCATTCACGCCAAATCATAATTTCCATAATTACGAGATACCAACTTGAAAAACGCATTCACGTCCTCGTAGAACTCATAATTGCAACTTGTGAACTGGGAGTTTTCTGAGAGCTACGGCTTGCACCACGTGACCGCTGCACCTCACACAGAACCAGAGAAAATTGGTGGCACTTCCAGTAGTAAAATGTAATTAAGCAGTTACTTTTTGTGTTTTAAAATTTGTGTAATTGACTTTTGCCAATGAAGATGTCTTCATATAAAAGTAATGTGAACATAAACGAAAGACATGCAGCACAGAGTTAGATAGGCTATACATGTAATAACAACCTAAAGAAATAATTATAAAGTGTAATAATAATGCATTTGCATAGCAACTGTTAATTGTATTGTGTTTTACAGCTGCCATTAACATTCTTTCACGTGGGTTCATTCTGTCATTATAGCAACAGATAATCCCCAGTCCGAGGACGTGAACAGCACCGAGTTGAACGTTAGGTGCTGTCATCTAGGAATTGCGATAATTACGACATGGCATGAACGCAGCATCCTCAATTCCAATAATGCTCACAGATCTGTGTTTTTAGAACAGTAAAAGCTTTTTTACTGTAGTCACATTGTCATACTGAGTCACGTTTAGCATAAAACACTGATAAAAGCATATATCCCCCACTTTATTGGAATTTAAATAGTATATGTTTATTATTTTTTATTCTTGAACAGATGGTGCTGTATTAAGCAGTATATAAAAAAAGTGTTTCTGTTGCTCATGAAAAACGTTTCTGAAATGTCTGTGTATTTAACAAATATTGCATTTAATTCACTTCATCTGTGACAGAGTATGCAAGCAACGTACAGGCATCACTACGGGGAGCAGAAAGTGTCTGACTTGACATGTCCATTTTCAACTCCACCCCCCACTGCTCTCGGCTAATCTCGTTGACTGCTGTCTGTAGCCGTGGTTCAAGTCGAACACACCTTGTATCATTTCATTTTAACACGCGAATGAAACTATGAGCATGCGTTTCAGATCCGCGTCACATTGAGCAGTGGCAGCTCTTAAAGTAATAGCAGCCAAATAACCTAATAACCCAGTTGCTGTGATGTTTATTAATCAAAGAACAGAATAAAAAAGAAGAAATCAATAACTTTTGTAGCTTCAAGGGATCCACTGTCACCATGGCAACCACACCACACACTGGTAAACCAGTTTTCATTCTTTAGATCAGGCCGTGTGAATGGATCAATGCGAGATTCTGTGTATCGTACATGAGCGATACCTTTCTACTATGTTTAACCACTGTTAAGTCTGGCATAATGAAATAGAACTATATGTAACAATAGTTATATAACCTTGAAAACAATATCAAATTTTTTTGTGTGTGTTTTTATACTTTATTTGTTTTTCTGCATGTGACATTTAGAAATAGGCTGATGTCAGAGCATTAGTAAAATCTAGGATCCATTCTTTCTGCCAACACTTTAAATTGCGTGTAAAAAGGCATCCTTTTGCAGCATATACAATAGCAGCCTGAAAGAATAAAACAAGATGTCTTGGCTGGCTATTTGATGCAGGTTCAAAGTGTAATGAAATGCTTTATTATTTGTTTTGTAGGTCAGAAAATTTGCATATCAAAAGTTGGCATCATAGCATGATTAAATGTCAATCGCCTACACAAGCATATACACACACTGACATGAATACCCATTGCTCATTACGATGCAACTGTATAATGTGGACTCAATTCTATCTTTTTTCCAAGTATTGTTATAAATAAGCCTAACTGTTATTAATTGATTTAGGATGGTAAACTTAATTCAGTTGCAGGATTAAAAAAAATAAAAAATAAAAAATAAAAAAATAATATATATATATATATATATATATATAAAAATTTAAAAATAAAATAAAATAATTCAATTAAAATCTCTACATTTGGATAATAGGCAGGAAAACAAGACAAAGTCGCACTGTTTCAACAAGTTTCTTGTTAACTGTCAGAGCAAAGATTCAATCTGGCACAGGACAAAAAACAAGAGGGGAATACAAAGGGTGATGAACAAACTAAAATAGGTGTGAGCCCTAATGAGATAACAAGGTAAAAAGAGGGGCAGGGTAACAATAGACAACAAACACAAACACCATGCATCAGCCCTGTGATCCAGACAAAGGACACAACATAAACACTAAGTTGATCAAACTGGCGCCCTAACAGTTTACCCTGGTATTGTCGTAAAACTGGAACTCTTCGTATTTAACAACAGTCACTGGGCTTCATTGACAAAAGATAACCAAAAGGAATTTCTGCAGAAATAACTTTCAGTATGTCTATTATTCATTCTTTCATGCATGCATGCATGTATGAATGTATATGTGAATGTATTTATTTATTACTAACTATTAACATTTGCACTTTGGTTTCATAATGTTAAAGCTTTGTGACTTTAAAATGAGGACTGTCAAATCAGAGTATGGTTGAAAATATCAGGGTAAAGTTATGAGGAATTATTGTATTTGTATTATATTGTATTGTATTTGTTCATCACACCCACACTTTAGGGAATGAAAAGTGGTACAGAATATTTTTAAAAACCAAGGAAACAACAACAAAATCAACACAAAGTTTTACTAAGAGATGCACCTGGAACAGTCAGAAAGACTGTAACATTTGGCCCTATCGGTCGAATATACATGAATTAAAATGAGGTCAGATTATACTGTGTGTGGTACCGACAATTTTAAAGTGAAACTCAAATGTGTATTTACAATATTCACATTAGACTTGAAACAATACAATAAAAACAGGAAACCTCAGGCTGTTAAAAGCATAGAGTCCATAACGCCATACCCTTAAACAGTCGGAATGAGTCCCAGTGTGTTGATAGTCTCAAATGCAAGTGTCCAACCAAAGCCACTAGAAGGCAAGCCTGCAACCTTTAGCCAAACAAGTGTAATGGCTAATGCTAATGGAAAGGAGACCAGAGGCCGTTTTTTATTGAATGGATGTCAATGGAGGAGAGGCTTCACTACGCTGAATAAACAGCTTTTTAGAGGAAACAGCTCATCATTTAATGAATCGACAGCCTATCTGCTAATCTCCAACATGTTTTACACTAAACAATACTTTTAGATTGAACTACTTTGAGAGTTTACCATTAAAAAAATGCCGTTTTATAAGAGAAGTCACTGACTTTTTGCGACAGGCATTCAGCTTACGGCACTTCTATTCACGTCTCATTCATTCCTATGGGATCCATAAACGGCAATTGAGTGTCGCACAACTCAATGATGTCAAGGCTGAAATGTGATTGGTTATTAAGGCACACATGATCCAAGTTGACCATTACGCTTTCTCCAAAAGTAAGTAATACAGACCCCCCTCATCTCCCAATAGTAAGGCAATCTCTGGTCCATCAGTGTATATACAATCCAATAATGTCCATTTCTAATTCCCTGTCATGTGATCAGTGATCACTCACATGACAGGCAGGCACAGTCTCATTTAAAGGCATACACACATTAAAATAGGTAAGAGGAATAAAATGGCCAAGACATCATGCAAATCCATAAAACTCAAATATATATAAAACCATCATAATACATAATGATTGGATTAAAACATGTGTCCTGTGCGACAGTGTCACAAGACAATGCAGCAATTCTCTGTTCCTCTGTTTACTTCTCAGTTTTTGTTTGTTGAGGTCAGCTGATCCATGTCTCGACTACTTATAGAAATATCAGAGGTTTAATTAGACAGACTGGTGTAATGTTTTTAAAAGAACAGTCCCTTAAACTTTCTTTTATATATATATTTAAGAGATCAAAGCTTTTCCTGTAGGTGGTAAAAAGCGAAATGAGCTTTCTCATCGGTGTAGGACAAAAAGGACATCAAAGAAGAAACCTCATCAGATAGCAGAACAACAGAGACATTTTATCAACACTGTATTTGTGACAGCACCTACAGCATGATCTCACATGTGGGCTGGTCTATAGAAACATAAAAGAACACAGTCAGAGGAACTCCACACTGAAACAGGTGCATCACATGTGAACTGTTGAAATATTCCTCTCCTCTCAAATCAGTCAAGAGAAAGAGACAGTAAGAAGGACTTTAAAGAAGAGGCCGCTTTGAGGTACAGTATTTTAAATACAGATATTAATTTGATCAAAGTGCATTTGTTTGCAATAGACTGTGGGGGAAAAAATGTGCTTTTATTTGTCATATTTTTGACATAGTCGACTGAATGTTATGTCAAGTGACATTTATTTCTATAGCACTGTATACATTACATATTATCACAGGAATAAAAAGTAAAATAACTTTGTAATAATGTTGTAAAATTAATCAGATAGGAAATGAATTCATTTGCACTACAAGCAGCTCTACAGAAGACAAAATTGTCATTATTCAGCTCAGTTGAGTTCATCTCATCCGTTAGTGTCAGTGCAGTTAAATCTATAATATTACTAATTTTTTAATGCTTAAATACTGTTGGACATAAATTGTGCCTGAGCATGGCTTTCTTAAAAGAAAACAAACATGTTATTTTCCATTTATTGTTATTTTAATGAATGAGTTGGACTGATCATTATCTAAACTTTTCCCCCCTTAAAATAAGTAAATGCAGTCAGACTTTTAAATGTGCAGAAATTCTGTGTAGGTTTTGCAGTGGGTACAGCAAGCAGCTGAAACAAGGACACAAACGCCTTTCATTTTTCGTAAAGATGACTGTGGTATCATTATCTTATCTGCTATCTATACAGAATCAGCCATGATGCAGAAACATTTACATAACTTCCCTCCTAAACACACGCCATGCTGCTAGGCAAAAGTTTTGCATACTTTTGAAAAGGGTACTTATTACGGAAATATACTAATAGTGCAAACTAACTGTAATGTTTTCTGACACTTTGCACATCGATGCACGTCAATTGCCACTAAATTAAAATGTATTATACTTTCTATGAAATTCAATTAGCTGAATTTTAGAGCGATTTGTTTTAAACTAACCAAATTCTTTAAAATATGGTTACTAAATTTAATTTCTATTGATATTATATGAAATTGAATTGTATTGTATTAGCCAACAACATCAAAAATTTGAAATTTGAATTTGACATTTTTACAAAGTGCACTTTTTGAAAGACGCACGGTCATGAAATTGAAAGTGGCCTTTTATTTAATTAATATTACATTATTTGCAAGTAGTTTTTATTTCATGTACACTTGTTTCCACAGGGAATGAGCTTTTGTTTGATATGCAAATGTAATTTTTTCTTCTCTTAAAGGGGTCATATGATTACGGATTATAATGACTTATACTGTCTTTTTACACGTTGCGTTGCATCGCGCCGCATAAACATAAAACCATGTCTACATGAATCGGAGAAATGACAAACAACAAGCGCTACTCTACACTGCTCAAAACTTGTGTTTGAATCATCAGTGGCAAATTCTTTATATATAAAAAACGTACTTACAGTCTGTGAGTCAGAACAGCCGACATTGTAGTCTACTCTACCAGGATCAGGAAACTGTCATCCATAAAAAGCACAGCACACATATGAATATTTGGGTTGAACTGTTCTGGAACAGTGTTGTAAATACAACTTAACCACTGATTTCTAGTCGTGCCCTCTTTTGGAAGGCCAAACAAAGTAGTTTCGCTTTCACAACGAAACACACAGCGTCACTCACGGTGGGCTTGAGAACGACGCGGCCAGCGGATTCGACGAAGGAGCATCCGGAGGGCTTGCGGCAACCACATGTGACGACCCCGGGCTGGACTCCGCTTCGTCCACGGTGAAAGCCGATCCGGCGATCGACAGCGCGAAGTTGATGTATTTCCTCAGCGACCAGCACGGATCAGCTCCAGGCATGACGAAGCGATATCGTCCTCTTTTGGAAGGCCAAACAAAGTAGTTTCACTTTCACAACGAAGCACACAGCTCTTCACGATACGGCGGCAGCAACAATACTACAGCGAGAATAAAAGTTACGCCTTCTTTCTTTGCGTGAACATTTGGGCGGTGTTATGCAAATCTTCCAACATAGTGATGTAGACATGTGGGGGTGTGTTAGAATGAGGCGTTTTAGGAGGGCGTTGCTGACTCAACTTTTATAAAGAATATCTCTTTGGATTTGAGACTTTAGTCTTTGCAACTTTACAAATCTTCTTTATGCACCAAGAGCTTGTAACACTCCAAAGAGAAAGGAAAAATTGAAATCGCATCATATGACCCCGTTAACAAACATTGGAAGTACTGTGTGGTTGTTTTGCTTTTAGATTTTCAGATTTGAATTCTTTCCATCGCTCTCTTTTCTTTCAAGGTCAGTCATACAGTTATGAATGAGTTCATGGATAATTACACAGATGATACTTATGATTATGATGATGAGGCGGCACCTTGTAACCTGACATGGTTCAACGAACAGCAAGTGACCATCCCAACATTCATCTACTCTCTGATTTGCACACTCGGCCTGCTGGGCAACGTTTTGGTCCTCCTAACATACGCCTTCTACAAGAAAGCAAAAACCATGACAGATATCTACCTGGTTAACGTGGCACTGGCGGATCTGCTGTTCGTCATCGCCCTTCCACTGATCATCTACAATGAACAGCACGACTGGGGCATGGGCACGTGGGCTTGTAAGTTTCTGAGAGCAGCCTACAGCATCAATGTGTACAGCAGCACGCTCCTGCTGGCCTGCATCAGCGGCGACCGCTACATCGCCATCGTGCAAGCCAGACGATCAGTTCGAATTCGATCGCAAGCTCAGGTGTACAGCCGTCTCATCTGCTTGGTCATTTGGCTGCTCGCTTTTATCTTGTCTCTACCTACGCTTATATATTACCAGGAGGAAAACAAGGAATGCATCCTTAACTTTGAGGAGCACAACCTTGCCAGAATCATGAAAATCCTGATTCCGAGCATGCAGATGGTCCTCGGGTTCTTGGTGCCGTTGATGGTCATCATATTCTGCTACTCGTGCACCATGGTGACTCTACTCAAAGCTCAAAACTTCCAGAAGCACAAGGCGATCCGCGTGGTCCTGGCCGTGGTCTTTGTGTTCGTCATTTGCCATCTGCCTTACAACGTGGCTCTTCTCGTCCACACCAGTAAACGGTTCAGTGAGAGAGTCTGCGAGGAAGAACAGGTGACTCTGATGACTTTGTCTATCAGCAGGAGTGTGGCCTACCTTCACTGTTGCTTGAATCCTATTCTGTACGCCTTCATCGGGGTTAAATTCAGGAGCCACTTTTGTCAGATCTTCCAAGACTTGCGGTGCCTGGGGAAACGGTACATTTCGGGACGCTCCTCTCAGCAGACCTCGGAGCTGTACATATCAGCAAACAAAACCGTTGTTGGACAGAACCATGAGAACCCATCATCGTTTACAATGTGACAGAACTTTTGAGTGTTTGAACTCAAGGAAGCAGTGATCTGTGGATTGTTTGTTTGGTGCTTGGTTTGTGTTTTAGTTTCATGGATTGCCGAAATGAAACTGAAACTTTTTGGCTTCAGAAAAAGGTTCCATAACTGACATTGACTAACAATGAGCAATACATTTATTACAGCATTTTTGAATTACATGTCATCTCAGGTCCATTAAATAATATTCATATATTAAAATTTTTAGTAATGCATTAGTTGGCCAAATATTGAAAAAAAAAAGTATTTTCATTGTTAGTTCATGTTAACTAATGTAGTTAACTTATGTTAATAAATGGAACTTTATTGTAGTGTTACCTCTTGTTTTGAAAGTACTGATGCGGAAAATATGGTAAATATTTTTTTTTTCTAAATGTTGTCCTATTCAAATGCTTTTTCACAATAACTTTATTGTGGGCCGACTACTACAACCCATACCTGATTTACAAGGCAAATTCATATCGGGAAATACATTTCAGTCTTGTCAACAATATGGTATTAAACTATGAGTGTTAAGGTAAAAAATGCATTTATCTTGTAAAAGGCTCAGTATAGAAATATTAAAAACAAGCTTTAATGAGAAAACCAAAGCATTTAAACATTAACCATGTAAAGCCTAGTGAATCGTGCATTGCATTATATGTTTTGATCATAAAACTAAGCATCTAAATATCATCTTACATATTATTGGAGATATAGAATGACGAAAGCAAGTATCTGCTATACTGTTATAAAGATCCCATTGATTTACATTACAAGCTAATAAAATAAAATTTGGTGAAAGAGCACTGCATTGCAGCAAAACATGTGTGTGTGTGTGTGTGTGTGTAAACTGTTAACTATAATAAACTGTTTCAAGGTTCAATAAACTTTTGAAAATTTCAAAACTCATTTTCAAAAATGGATTTTTCTGACTATTACCTCATATGTCAGGCTTTACAGGGTCAGCATAAAACCTTTAAATATTAAGAAATCTTTAAATATGATTGCCTGAGTTGTTGAGTGAACAATAACACTCCACTGTGTAACTGTGCTCAATGAGATCTGCTGGACAGCTTTATGAGGTGATAAAACAGTGTTGTATTATGTAGCATTGTAGTGCTATATGACTTCTGGAGTGTTAGACAGGGACTTTTGGCCTTGTGGTTGGAAAGGAGGCCCTCTATCTAAGTATATCTTTGTGAACTGTAGACAATGACACGCCACTTCTTCCTCTGAATATAAATGTACATACACAAGTTACTGAAAGTAGTGGGATGATTATCTAAATCTAACGAAATGGGTCACAGAGCAATACACTTCCAGATAATGGTTAAACAGAAAAGCAGAAATGAAACACTTTATAAATAAAACGTCATGACTTGACCTGGAGTAACATCATATCCACGAAAGCAGGAAACATTACAGGAGGAAAACCCTACTGGTGAAACCAACCATGTCAGAAAACATAGGTCGTCTCTCCAGGTGTTTTATCTATTTAAATGATGCTTATCTTAGTTCCTCGTACTACATCTGTGAACAACACATTGAGTTTGCATACAGACGCAATATGGCATCATAAAATGCCCAAATTTACATTACAAATTCACCAGCCAGTTTAATGAACGGTAAGTTTCTACGTCATTTTATTATCATGCTTTTTTAATATATTTTCAAATGTAATTTAGTACTGTGATGCAAAGCTGAATTTTCACCACATAATTTTTGGGAATCATTCTATGATGCTGATTTGCTGCTCAAGAATCATTGCTTCGTATTTTTTGTGGAAACCATGATACAGTATTTTCAAGGATTCTTTGATGAATAGAAAGTTCAAAAGAACAGCATTTCTTTTTAAAAATAGAATCTTTCGATCCATTTCACTGCCCCAAACTTTTGAAACAGTAGTGTATTTTCAGGTTAACTTGTCACCTTTTTTCTTAGGTTTTCAGTCTTTCACCTTCAATGGTGTTGCGAATGCATTGTTGTAGCATAAATGTTCAATATAGGTAGCTTCTCAACTCCTACATCTATAATAGCAGTCACAATTCAGGACACCTCATGTCCAATTAAAAGGGGGATGAATTGGAAGACTTTCTTGACTTTTAAAGTCCTTTTAATGTTGCCCATGATTAATTCTTCAGCAAGATTATCTGTGATAAAGACTTTATTATGTTTCTACTCAGAAAGAAAAGGGAAAGGAGTACACGCCTTTATAATAAAGAATGTTTCAGTACATTTAAGTATTTTTGTGAACAACTGTCCCGGAATTTTTTTTTATGTCTCATGTTAAGAGTTACAGCAGTCTTACAGCAACACATAGGGCTTGAGTCATCGATGTAAAGCAAGCTCTCTTATTCTTATTATGAATAAACAAATTATGAGTAAAGCATTACTTTACGTTTGTGATACATGGAACTTACAGTAAACACAGAATCAGTGATACAAGTAGGGAGAAAAGGGCATATGTAGAAGAAAAACATATCTCTCCAGGATACGAGCAGGTATCGGGTTTGAGGTTTGGGAGCAATGAGAGCGTGTAACATGGCATTGATAACCATAGAGCAATCCTTAAATCCTGAAGTACACAATAAATTAAAATATTCACATGCCATCTCAATGTATTTCTGGTTGAATGTTAGTTTACGTGCATCATCAAATTCATCCCATATATCTTGCGGTTTTTTCTTGGGCAGAATGTTTGTGGCTATGCCAAAATTTCCTGGTTGAATAATACTGACCTACAAGAACAGAGAAATAGAAAAATAAAATAATGCACTGTGTTCAAAGAAATATCCTATTTGTAATAATAATAATAAAAAGAGTCCACTGAGGCCTTTAAACATCGATGACAATGTGAGTTTCCCTTTAAAAGAACACTGTAAAAAAAAAATCTGTGACATTTACGGTAGAATTCCGGCAGCTGCGGTTGCCAGAACTTCACCGTAAAAAATATGGTAGCAACATTTTAGGTTTTACAGACTTTTATTCACAATAAAATACCGTATTTCATTAACTGATGTAATGTTAATAAACCAACATATTGAAGTAATATCCGTTTTGAATCATTGTAATGCACTGATAACCACCAAAAACTGGTGGTGATGAGAAAGTCACATGATGAACCAAAGCTCATCACAAACAGCTTTTCTACGAGCTGAGGAGGGCAATACTTATATACAGTAGAAGGAGGACAGTGTCATTCACACAAACACTAAACACCATCATGGTGACACATATGATACTGAAATAATGCAATAAACATTAATTTAACAACATTAGATGTAAGATTAAACCCTAATGTACACAACTGATAAGAAAAAACTAAGAAGAAACAGTTATTTCAACAAAAACATCAAATCTGAAGTGGCATGCAGGGAATTCTGGGAGTGTCAATTTACGGTTTTTCACTGTAAATTATACCATGACTTTTTCTTCTATAGTATGGAAACTTACTGATAACCAATTAACAGGTTTTTATTGTAGCCTTTTTACAGTCTTTTACTGTTAAAATCACAACCATTTTTTACAGTGAATGACTAAGGCCTTACCTTAACTCCAAAATTGACCATCTCTACTCTCAAGCAGTCTGCAAACGCTTCCAGTCCCCGTTTGGATACACTGTATGCTCCCATGTTCAGACAGTTGAAGAAAGAAAAGATACTTGACACATATAACATACGACCTAAGAATGAATGATGAAATTAAAAGAAGTAGTAAGTAAAACTCTCAGTAACAACTGCTGTCACTGGCGCAGTAGTACCCTTTCAAAAGGGTACACTTTCTGCCTTTTTTACCTCTAAAGGATGTATATTACTACCTTAAAGGTATACATTACATCAGGGGCGTAGCCATCATTTCAGAAATGAGGGGGACAGAAATGTTATATATTAAAAAAAAAAAAATAATATATATATATATATATATATATATACATATACACTCATTTCTAGCTTTTAATTGGCTTAGAAATCAGATAACTGCTGGACAATAACCAATAATAATGATTTGTTTATATACTACAAACACTTTTTTTTTTATCACATAATAAGGCAGAATAGTTTCAATACTGTAATAAATGCTATGTCAGTTAGCACTGCATTGTTCATATACTTTATTTATTACCTGGAGATGACTTGACAAACACAAATAAACCATATTGTCGTTTCTGTTTTCTGTTTTTCTGAAAACAACTGTTTTCATACAGCGATAGCTGGACGCTTTTGTCCATAGTAGGCCTTTCTTCGCGAGAGCGCCTCCGGCATCGAGTATGAATGTAACATACACTGCACGGAATGTTTAGCGCTCTGTGAATGTTCATCTCGCCTTATTCTGGGTCCGAATAAAGCATCAGATCATGCACAGACTATCCTGTCTCTTTGAATTTAAATCTATATTTATTCACACCGGCTCTTGAAAACCTCTATGCGAACACACTTGCCCAAAAAAGTGCGGGGGACGAATTTACGTGATATTAAAAGTGAGGGGGACACGTCCCCCGCGTCCCCCGCGTAATCTACGCCCCTGCATTACATGAAGTCTACATATTAGTACCTAAATGCCAAATATAAAATTGTCAAGGCATTTTTAAATGATCTGCATCACTCAATAAGCTTTTCTGTTTGGCTGATCAGTGTCAGAAACAGCTTTTATTTTGACAGCGCTAAGAACACTTGACCTGAGCGCAGATGAGAGCATAATCTTTAAATCATTCATTTTAAACGTTGCTGCACTATATACCGTTAGCCGCTATGTCATACGCCAGTGTACTGTATGCAAAATTAACATTACCTGGAGTTTATTTTAGAAAATATGATTCCCAGATCACACAAATTTACCAGATTACTGGGTGCACTGTTGATTACAGTGTTTACTTCCTTTTTAGTCATGTTTTTAACTATGTGAAGGTGGTTAAGGATTACAGAATCAAAAATAATCCATTTGTTTAACAGATTTATTATCAAATGATTTTTTTTCACAGATTAATTTTAGAAT